AGGGGTGAGACTTTGAGAACTGAGAGCCTAGGCAGAGATGCTCAAACTTCAGCGTGCATCCAAACACCTGCCGTCGCCCAGAGGGATCCAGTAGGTCTGGGTGGGGACTGAGAATGTGCATTTCTAACCAGTTCTCCAGTGATGCTGCTACTGCTGGTCTTGGGACCACACTTGGAGAAATATAGGAGAAATATCTATAGTGAGAAGTAAAATAGGACAAGGGCGGAAGTAAATAAATGCAGCCCAGAGCATCCTTATGTAAGGTAAATACTTCTCTTGTTAAAAGCACCGTTGTTCTGTTTATTAAATTCTTTTTTTTTTGAGACAGAGTCTCAAGCCGTCACCCTGGGTAGAGTGCTATGATGTCACAGCTCACAGCAACCTCCAACTCTTGGGCTAAAATGATCCTCTTGCCTCAATTTTTCTATTTTGAGTAGAGAAAGGGGCTCTCAATTTTGCTCAGGCTGGTCTCAAACTCGTGAGCTCAGGCAATCCACCCACCTCGGCCTCCCAGAGTGGTAGGTTTATAGGCATGAGCCATGGTGCCTGGCCCATGTTTATTAAATTCTTACTTAACAAGGACTTGTTTTCCTGTAATCTCTTGCTCTTTCTGGAACAGTGGGTACGTAGAAAAAAAAAAAAACCCAAAGAACTGAGGGATATGGAAGATTAAATTCTAGCTTAACTGAAATAGTCTCCTGCTTAGCAAATGAAGACTCCCAAATACATGATTTTTCTCTTCACTCCCACATGTTCCAAGACTGAATTGCTATGTGGCATCTTGTGGCCTTAAGGCAGCTCCTGCCCCCCACTTTTAAACTGTGTGTGTTGGCTACTGGGGTGAGCAAGCTGACTTTCTCATCTTCACAAGATAGGTGGTCTGTCCTGTCCCCATGTCACTGCTCAGTCAGGCTAAATGTCCCTACCTCCTCCTCCTGGGAACCCCTTCCCACAAAGACATGTGGCCAGCCTCCCTCTGCCTGGGAGTCCTCTCCCTGGCACCTGTGTCACACCTGACCTCCCCTACATCTGTGGCCATGTCCTACTTAGCTATCTAGTATTCACTTATGTGAACACCTGTAAGCATCTTGAGGTCAGGACCTGTACCTTGTTCATCTTTGTGGCTTCTGCTGCTCCAGAGACCGCATTTCCCCCCAGGAAGTCTGGTTATGAATACTTAAAAATTTCCCTGTACCACTTTTCTGATTTGGAGAATATAGGAACCATTCGCGTCCCGGAAACTTGTAATGACTGTTGTCTGAACAAATATTCTAAGCTACAAACCCTTTCCTCCCTCTCGAGAGGGGCCACAGCAAACAACTGTCAGCCTGGCAGCCAGTCCCTGAGGACCCAGGAAGCCTCTAGAAAGCTGCCAGGGAGCAGCTGCAGCAGACAAGATGCTCTTTGACCTTCTCTGCTTCCTGTTCTCTGAGGTGGGCCCGGACCTGCAGACCCAGGGGATCTGGCCACAGCAGAGAGTACAAGATATGAGGAAGAACTTCCAGACCGGGATCACAGGCTGTGTAAGGCTGGGGCGAGGGGTGGGATATGAGAAAGGCAGGCTGTATAATGTCGAAGGGGCATGAGTTGCCAAGGTCAGACCCCATATCTCCGCAGGACAGATTTGGAGTGGCTTTCCACATTTCTTCATTGTGACCCACAGTTAGAAATATAGTTTTTCATCATGAGCCAGGATATACACCTGTGCACACACATAATAAAACTGAAATTAAGTCATGAAATAGTAATTACCATGCTATGTGTGATAGACTCTGACATTTTCTATTCTACTCGATTAAAAAATTGCTGGTCACAACCCACTAATTGGACTTCACGATTCACTAGCCAGTCATAACCTGCAACTTGAAACAATCTGCCCTATCAC